TATTCTGCTCCAACTTCTCATGATTGTTTGATTGGATTTTAATACTATATTATTTTCCCTTAGTCTGGCAAATAATTGTGATTTTGTGGTATCTGACAGAATCTTGGGGGATGTTCAGGGATCCTAGGCTCACACTTTAAGAAATGCTGATCAAGACGTTCTCTGGAATTCTAGTATTTGTATTCTGAAAAAAGTAATTGCATATAGGTTTGTGTGAGATATAGATACAAATGCAAGTAAGGATAGTATATAGATATATTCACATGCTGATCTCCTTGGAGTTAAAGAACTGCAATAACCCTACTTTCCAGTTCTCCTTTGAATTAATTTCTAAAGCAAAGTCTAAGTGAAAACTAATAGAAAAATACACAGGAGAATTTCTCTATTTGGCACTGAGCAGAAATAACAGGGGATTTTTTAAAAGCCAATGAGGATTGAGCATATCTGATTTATATATGAACCAAAGTAAAAATCAGGTTGCAGGGGGGTGAATGGAATAATGCAAACAACAGCAATCCTTTCTGTCAAATTTAACTGTAGCTATATTTATTTTTCATATGAACACATTTCTGATCGTGTTCATCTGACTGTCTAAACATGCAAAATTGCTATCATTCAAGAACCATATCTTTCTACCATAGCATGAAATCTTTTGGAAGAGAAACAAACTTGAACATAATGAGTTTATAACAAGGGTTGTCATTTATCATATTATGGTTATTTTACAATTATATCTATGTATAATGGAGAAGCTTCTACAGATAATTCTCGACTTACAACAGTGACCATTCAAAGTTACACTGAAAAAAGGAACTTATGATTCTTTTTCACTCTTATGACCATTGCAGCATCCCCATGGTCAATTCAGACACTTGGCAACTGATTCATATTTATGATGGTTGAAGTGTCTCAGGGTCATTTGATCACCTTTTGTAACTTTCTAAGAAGCAAAGCCAATGAGGTAGTCAGATTCACTTAATCTTGTTACTACCTTATCAACTGCAGTGATTTGCTTAACAACTATGGCAAATGGGGCAAAACTCACTTAACAAATGTCTCAGCAACAAAAATTTTGGGCTCAATTGTGGTCATAAGTTGAGGACTACCTGTACTCTACCAGGAATTAGGTGTTAGGAAGTACAATTGCATAGTTTGTAAAGAGTTGGAACAAACATCAGTGCTTTGGATTACTGTAATTGTTTTACGCTTTTCTAACAACATTGCAAGTTGAAGTTCTTTACTTGCTTTCAAGGAATACATAGCCATCAAATAAAGTAAAAGCTAAACCTGCTTCTTTCCTCCAGTTAAAATTAACCTGTTTATTTGTAGCTTTTTGAAGCTTATTACTGTTTAAGAAAAAAAAGTATCTGGAAGTGACCTAATTATATTCACAAGCAAATGCAAGCCTTGTTTGGTCTCATACTAATTTATTTAGAGTTTAGAGTTTTTTTAGAGTTTTATTAGAATTTGTAGGCCGCCCTTTTCCCTGAGGGGACTCAGGGCGGCTCACATAAAAATGGGGGGGGGGGGAATACAGACATCAAGATAGAAACATATAATAAAATGGTAGGCAACATACATTCATCATTCGGGAGGGG